CCCGGAACAGATGGGGCCTGTGCTGTCCCGGAGTTCGTACATCGACGACATCATCTACGGAACTCCGTCCTGGGATGACCTGTGCAAAACGCTGAATGCCCTCCTGTACCGACTGCGGTACTGGAACATTTCAGTGAGCCTCCCGACGAGTGAATTCGGAGTCAAGAAGTGCAAGTACCTCGGGCAGGACATCAGCTCGGACGGAATCCGGACATCCCCGAAACTGGCGGAAAAGGTCCTCAACTTGCCGTTCCCGAAGACCCAGAAGGGGGTACAGTCCTTCCTCGGGAGCCTCAACTACTATGCTAAGTTCATCGAGGACCTACCCGTGCTCGCGGCCACTCTATACGAAACATCGGACGAACAACTCCGTTCCGGGCGAGATTTGGAGAAACCTAGGCATGCGTTCAAGATACTCAAGGACCGACTAGTGTCAACACCACTATTCCAGCACCCCGGCCCCGGGAAGCAGTACGTAATCATATTGCACGCCAACCCCGGGGCTATCAGCGCGGTTCTGAGGCAAATCTACGACGGCACCATACTACCCGTGCGGTTCGTGGGACGAGTTCTCCAAGATGCCGAACTGAGGTACCATCCCGCCGAGAAAGAAGTACTAGCGCTGCTCCGAGTCCTGAACACATGCCACACTATGATTACGAGCTGTTCCGAGAAGAAAATTCGCGTGTACACCAGGTACTCGGTGCTGGCGTAGTTGTTCAAGTCCAAGACGGTAGATGGGAGGTGCCTCAAGTGGGCGGTCAACCTATCTCCCTGGGACCTGGACATCCGGCGAGTCGAGAACGATGAAGATGGCCTGTCAGCGATCCTGGGAGCGGGCATCACTCCCCGGGAACGTCTCGACGAAGTCGCCGAAACCCTAGTTCCGGACAAGGGTTCCCGGATCAAGACACCCCCAGTCAGCCTAGAAATGCTCTCTAGTGACCACATCGGACATCTGCTGAGCTTTGACGGAGCTGCCAAGAGAGATGGGTCCGGAGGCGCCGCATGCATCCTCTGGAGTCTCCTGAGTTGGGAGGTCGTGGCGGCCACGGGACACTTCCCGGAGAAGGCTACCGTGAACAAAGCCGATTATTCCGGATTAGTCAAAGGCATGCAACTTGCTTTAAACGTGGGGATCCAGGAACTGGTAGTAGTTGGGGACTCCCGGTTAGCAATACAGCAGCTCCAGGGGTTATCGGTTGTACCCAACCCCACCTGTTGAGGCTGCTCCAGGA